TATTAGCATATTTTGTAGAATAGGAGAATAAACAAGATCCACTAACACAACCATAGAAACGTGACATACAGTTTACGTTATTTGCACCATGTTTAAGTATCTCAACAAAAATAATATCTAGCAAATTTGTTCTCAGGAAGAAATTCAAGACTGATGGCAACTTACAAAGGAGAAAAGCAAAATTGTTGTCCGAGGATTTGAACAGCAATGTGGTATTGACTAATTCAAGACTTTCGCGTCTACTATACACTACAACACACTTCAGATACTATTATCAAAGGCTGATATAGAAATTTTTGAGATCGAAGCTCTAGATGTAGACACTGCCTTTCTTAATCCAAGCTTAGAAGAAGAGATTTACATGGAGATACCCGATTTCTTTTCATTGCAACATCCAGGTATTACTCGAGAGAATTATTATCTCAAGCTCAATAAATCTCTATATGGTTTAAAACAGGCACCACACATTTGGTTTCAAGAGATCAAAGATCATTTTAACAAAATATCCTTAAAAGAAGGGGATTCTGATCCAAATCTCTTAATAAGTCGAGGCGTGTATGTACTTCTCTACATAGAAGATATGCTAATCATCGGAGAACAGGATAAGGGAAATACTGTTAAATCAGATATCATGAACAGATGGAAATGTAAGTCTCTAGGACCAGTTGATACTTTTGTTTTAGTTCAAGTGGAAATAAACAGGCAAAAGTGCATAGTTTGTATTCATTCAACAGCCTACCATGGTGCCACAGTGTCAAATTTGCAGTGGGGCTTTGGCAGAGGTTTTAGTGTGTAAACTAAGACGCCTTAGGCATAGTTTCATGGATAAATGTGGCGGAAACTAGGATGGTGTCTCATGGGGAGTTCCATTCTAAAACACAACTCGGGGTTAGATCAAGTTCTCAAACAATTAGGACAGGCTCAGGAACATAGGGTCGTTTCATAGGGATTGCATAGTAATACTGTTCGAGACGGAGCTTAGGACTGTCATATTATCTGATGTACATATATACCCAGCGTGAAGGAGTATTCTTCTTCACGCAACGTCTTCTATTTATACTCATACCTATTGTTCACGTACTTATCTCTTCTCTAAAGAAGACCGCCGTTATTGTACCCTTCTCACCTACTACTTATTTTACCTTTACCTCTTCTGTGAACCCTATACCTAACGCTAACTTTATACCTCCTACTCTCAGGAATTTCCACCATACGCCACACCTAACCTACTTGTACCAAACTTGTACCCTACGGAATACTGATAAACACGGCTCCTTGAGACATAGTCACCTTCCATATTGGAGTTAGCCCCCATATTTGTGCAAAATTTTGAAAAATTTTGTATGGCGGTTTATCTGGACACCATAGTTTGCAGTGGGTCTTTTCTTGGTACTAACCCTAATTTGTGCATTTTTGCTACTTGACTTTATGACTTATTTACAAGAGTTCAAAGGTTTTCAAATTACAAAATAGAGCCAGTCTTATCCTAACCTTAGATCTGAACATGTGGCTGGAATATTTTCAGGCCTAAATACCTGGTCAGTCCCCCATCTGCATCTATCACAGCCTGACATCTTACTGGCATACACTGAGTGAGTCTCACAAGATCTTCGGAAGACACGGAATCCCATGCCTCCTTTACAATCTTGCAAAGACTACCTTGAGTTCGCTGCTTTACGCAACCCAGATTCAGATGATGACGCTGGATGTAATCCTTTATCCTATTCCTAACAGCTTCAATCGGGTTAAGATCAGGCGAGTTGGCCAGCCAGAAAATCGGTTGAATGAGCCTCGGGCTGATATCTTCCATTGTAATTGCGGCTGTGTGGACAGGAGCATTATCCTGCATTATGGAAAGCCAAGGTCATATCGAGACCATGCCATCAATAAGAGTAACTCTCTGTCATGAATGCGCTTTTCACATTAGTATTAAATTGTCATCCATGTAGTGTAGCATGCAGAGCCAGGGAATTGGAAACAAGTTGGTGATAAATTAGATACCTCCAATTGCTACACTCACCCGTAGATCACTCCTAAAAGAGACTAGCTACGGCGCTATCTGGAAGTATGTGGGATTGGTTAATTATCAAGTAGATAACCTGTAACATAACATAACATAATGACACAATAAGATACCATTTGCATCCTGTAACATTTATTTCCATAATCACCCAAGTATATTCTAAGCCCCCTGAGTAGTCACAACCATTTAATTGAAGATACCAAGTGTATACAACCATATACATCACCACCCTTCAATACTCTCTTCTTGTAATAATTTTGGGAGTTAATGGAACCTCATTCCTTCTCCCAAAACAAACAAGGGCCTTTTTCTGGCCCTGCAAAGCAACCCCAGAACACCTATCTGACCCTATTCTTCGATTTTTCTCCAGCACAATCAGCGTTTTATTATTGGGAAGTCTAGCTCATAATGTTAGAGCATCAAATTACCATCTTCTTATTGAGGAATGTACGAACACTTCTTGTCACCCATTCTCTAGAATGTCTTTCATCTTCTACCCAAGTTTTGTCTGTCCATAAAACTGACATCCAGTCTTCATATGTCCAATTGAGATGAGCTTTGGCCCAATCTTTGGCAGTCTTCATAGTTTCCGAGATACTGGAGGCTTTAGACGAGCTACATGTAGCTGATATCCTCTTTTTTTAAGTTCTCTTTGTATTACTTGCTTGCTAACACCAAGATGTCTAAAGGGACCAGAGGCGAGTTCCAGAAGTGTTTTGCGGCGGTTTTCAGGTGAAGACTCAACGTAAGATGTAATCTGATCAACATCATCTGCTCTCAGTTGTAAGGATCTTCTTTTTCACTTTTTAGGGGAAACAGTTCCGTGGCGCAGCGAATTACTAAATTGTCCCCGAGAAATGCCTGGCTGCACGGCAATCTGCGTCCGGTTTTTGCCACATGCATGCAGCACATAAATCTTAATTTTTCTTTTAATTCATATTTGTTCATATCTAAATTTTCTACTTCCTAAAATGTTTTGATCTCCGGATAATTGTTTGATTCGAGGTGTTGAAGGTGGGGTTTGAGGTGGATTCATCTATAAAATAAGGTTATTATTGAGTAAAGCCATGTGTCTTCTGAATAAATAACTTTGTATTTGAGAAATCTAATTCTCATTGTAACTCAAGCACAAGGTGAGAAGAGCTGTATAATTTTATAGCGGTCGGCACTCATCAAAGCAATGGGAAAGAACTAGAGAGCGGGTTGGATTTGCATAAAACTGAGGGTGATATGAAATCAAATTGTGCCCTCAGTTTAGGCCTGGAAATACATGACAAGAATTATGTACCCTGTCGAAATTGGCTCTAACAGCAGTGCAACCCCTGCAGCAAATATACGCCCCATATAAATCCACTGAAAACTTGAAATTGTGGCACCACAGTACATGTTGTAAAGGTAAGAGCTTGCAGAGGTTAATTGGCAGAAGGTTTACAGTTATTATTGATGAATCAATGTGAACTGCTAATATATTTGATATTCAGAACTATGAGGATTTAGGAGGTAGAAAGCGCTAATTATATACACATCTGAAGTAGCTAGACTCTTGCCTTATTTACCCAAAACAGTATCACGGAATATTCTAGTCTCCTCCATCTATTGCGGGCTGTGCCCCGCTCGATTAGGCTGGGCTATCTTTCAGGCCCAGCCTTGTTCAAGGACTTTAGTCACGTGATCTAACGTGATTTCATGGATCATTGTGGCATAGCGTATTATGAAACGCCATGCGGACGGCTAAGTTAAAACACAAATAATAGTTCAATGCACTTCTAAAACCAGCAAGACTGATAAGAATGGGCTGGTTTCATTAGCTGATGTGTAGCAGATTGTTGGGTATAGGGGCTGTGTGCTACGTGCTATTTGGTAATTTTATGTATATAAATACTCGGCGTGAAGAAGCATTATTCTTCAAGCAACGTCTTCTTTAATTACCTTAACAATACATTTGTTTACCCATCTCTTCTTCGGGAAGACCATTTATCTCTTTCCAGCTCTTCATCAGCAAGACCCACGTGTAGCCTCTATCGCTACTATCTACCTATTTGTCTCTTCCTAGAGAAGACCAGTCATCCCTTCGACCCACTCATCACCTTTATCTACCACCTAGATCTTCGTTAGACCACATACGCACCCTGTGGAACACTGTCCTAACCTCGCCTTGAGACGTGGGGTCGTTTCTCATGACTTGAATCACTCAGTTAATTATGCTGAGGCTGGGAAACAGATCACTCAGTAGCAAAGGATTACGTGTCAGGAATCAAGATCACTGGTAGCTGAAGAGGGCATATTTAATGTAACAGATTTCCTGTAGTTAATCTCTATAGAAAAATATTAGTTCTTGTTGGAAATTCTGACTCTCGAATTTAGGACTCAACCACTACCTGTTTTGTCTCAGGTTCCCGACAAGATCGACTCTCTCTACACATGTCACAAGTGCGCTAATCGTGCCTACTATTTGTTGAGATAGTACCAACAAATAACAGTCACAGTACCAAAGGTGCAAACCCATGCCTAGCGCTGCAACATGCACATCTACTACTTGCCACCAAGCTTCGGGCGCAGGAGCGCTCAGGTAAAAACTGTTGTAATTAAGGCAGCAACATGACTACAGTAGACAAATAGTACATATTAGAATAATATACACTGGCGCCATGAGATATGATTAACTCATATCATCACTCACTGGCATGAATAGTAATTAGCCAATAGATGCCTGACAGCATACATTGCCTTCAAGATCTCCAACAACCTTCCCATTTAGGTTAGATTAGAAAGTATGTTTGAGTTCACACTAGTGTGCGGAAACCCCCGCTTTCATGTATATAGAGGGATTTCTCGCCACACATATAGAATTATAGCAATTTTATCACAATTAACTATCCATTAAATATCAGTAAACTTCTTCTTATAGTAAACATATTTATTGTATCTCTTAATCAAACTTGAGGCTAGTGTGTAATTCTTCCAATCTCCGGAACTAGTTTCAATTAAAACTATACATGGAAGTGATTGGGGTGGCAACACCATAAGCCCCTGGAATATAAGTGCTAGCCGCAAGGGGTCGGGTACCACTCAGCATATATGCAACAGCATCGAGTGTACAGGTGTATCTCGAGTGTCCCTAAAGGAAACCAGTACGGTTGCCCCTGGAGCAGCTATTCAGGGGCGCTCAACTAGGATACTGAGCTGCGATTATAGGGGCAGTGATGTGTTAAGGTTATGAGTTATATGGGAACATAGTTACTTGGAATGTGTCACAATGTTTGTTCAGATGGTTTGATACTTGGCAATGTGATTGCTGGCAGGTGTCTGATACTTTTCCGATGCTGTTCATGAGACAGAACATAGACTACTTATATACTCTAATATGACCCTTGTCATTGTCTACGCCCTCTCTCCTGACTTACTGCCAACAGCGTGCCTAGGTAAAACTCTGCAGCTCATGAGTCCATCTCTCATGAGAGGCATCCGCTGTTCCAGTGGCTGGCGCGCGCGTTCCGAGTACGCGTCGCTGCAATGCCTCAATCACTTACATGTAATATCCCAGCTGAGCGATCCTGAACCTAGCTGTTCAGGAACAACAGCAATCTAGTCCATGGTTCGCGCCTGTAGTTTGTATACACACCACAGCATCGCTCCAATCGTTCCCAGACAATGTCTCAGCTCCGCAGTCCTTAGTCCATTACTCAGGAGCGGAAGCAGTCATATAGTTCCAATAGTGCACTAGGTCTGCATATACCTCAGGGCGCTATTCCGTAATTGTCCGGCAATGTCTAACCGCTTATGGCTAGCGCACGTGGTCAGTAGACCCTTCACGTTGCTACCCCAATTGTTGCCTTGCAATGACTCAACCCGGCGCTTCCAAGTCCGAGACTCAGGAGCAGCAGCAGTGGTATCCATGGTCAACGCACGACTTGCATATGCACCTGTCGGCGCAGAGCCGGTCATTGACGAGCGATATCATAACACAAATCAACCTAACTTACCAACTTCATCACTTACGTTGAACAGTTCATTGAATCCTCGAAATTTCCATCAAAATCAAGATCCATGTCACGTTGTTCAATCCGATTAAAGAGAGCCACCATCACAAGAACCGTCATCAATTCTAGCTACTGCTCAGATTGAACCCCAGCCAACAACAAATTTGTCGAATCAATGCCACCCATCAGATGAAGATTCAAGAACATCCGTTAACTCTAGACCAAAGCGCACAATACGTCCTCGGACATATGAAGACACAATAACGGGGGAATGGTGGAAAACTTCTCGTGATCTTCCTGAACCCGAATTGCAGATTTCAACGCGTGGTGTTGGTAACAAGTTAGCCATGTTAAATATTCATGATGAAACTGAACCCAGCTCATACAGTGTTGCCAAATCATCACCTAATTGGGCTTACTGGGAAAATGCATTTGATGAGGAGATAGCATCCCTTAAAGATAACGACGTTTGGGATGTTGTTCCTCGACCTTAAGGACGAAAAGTTTTTAATGGCCAATGGGTGTGCAAGATAAAAAGAGATGCACATGGGGAAGTTGAACAATACAAAGCACGTTATGTCGCCAAAGGATTCTCACAGATCCAAGGAATTGACTATGACAAAACCTTTGCTCCAGTTGTACGACTTGATTCATTACGGTTAATCTTGGCAATTGCGGCATCTAAGAAATGGAAAACGAGAAAGCTCGACATTAAAACTGCATTTCTATATGGAGTCTTGAATAAGGATATTTACATGGAACTTCATGAAGGGTACAGGCGAGGAGATTATGTTTCAAAACTTAAAAAGTGTAAATACAGACTCAAGCAATTACCTCGGGAATGGTTCTTCAGGTTGGCTGAATATATCATTTCTTATGTTCTTGCTCCATCCCTATTTGATCCCTGGGTATTTATCCACAACACAGGTAAAATAATTGTTGCAGTTTACGTGGAAAACATAGTACTAATTGGAGAACAAGAGGAGCTCATCGAAGATTTAGTAAACCACTTCAAGGCCGAATTCAAGGTCAAGGATATGGGAACTCTTCACTGGCTACTTGGAATTCAGATTGAGTACTCTGATGTAGGAATCACTCTATTGCAGTCTGCTTACATAAATAGAATCCTTGAAAGGTTTTTGATGCAAGATTGCAATACGGTCTCCACGCCTATAGAGTGTAACCAACCACTAAAGGCAACGCAAAATGGAGAGCCTAGGGCCAATACTACTCCGTATCTACAAATAATTGAATCCATAATTTATATCATATCTGCTACTAGACCTGATCTTGCATATGCAATTTCTCACCTCTCTCAATTTAACTCAGATCCATCTATCACTCACCTAAGTGCTGCCAAGCGAGTTCTAAGATATTTCAAGGGGACAAAAGAAGTAGGTTTGTTATACAAATTTGAATCTACCCTGGTTCTCAATGGATACTGTGACGCATCATACGGAAATTGTCTCGATACACGCAGAAGTTTCTTTAGCTATTTATTCCAACTTGGTCAATCCACAATCTGCTGGAAGTCTCGCAAACAACGCACTGTTGCTCACTCCAGCTTTGAAGCTGAGTATATGGCACTCTTATATCCAACGAAACAATTACTTTGGATTGTAAGAGGACTTTACCAAATATTGGATAAAAATATACCTACTTCTCTGTCAACCAATAACAATTCCGCTATTGATCTAGCACATAATCCGAAGCTCAATGATGCAACAAAGCATATTGACATCGCTTATCATTTCACTAGAGACCAATTTAAAGATGGAACGCTCACCTTACTACATATTCTGTCAGCTCAAAATCTTGCGGATATCTGTACAAAAGGTCAACCTAAACCAAGACTTATGCACTTATGCACCAGTACCTTCGGTACAAAGTGAGAAGGGGTGTTGAAATAGGCGCTACTTGGCAATGAAGAGGCGCATTAATACGGAACGTAATAAGGTTCTATTATTACTAGCCACATTCATGACAACTCATACATTGACCAGCCTCCCAATTATTTAGCATAAACAAGTGAATCGTGTCTTTCACTTAGATGTAGTGATTAGTTTAAATAGCGCTCTGATACTAAGTGGGTTTAATCAACAACTCTCCACTGTAGTTTTCAGACTCTTCAATCTCCCAACTCGCTTCACTAGGTGATATTAAATACAAGCCTAACAACTTAAGCTTCTCTATACAACTTCCATTACAACAAATACATGTACTCTATGAGTGTCCAGAAAGGGCAATAGCTAAGTAATAATAAAATTGAATCAAGTAGAGACTCAGATCAGGGCTGTAATATATAAGATTCTGAAAAGAGGAAGAGAAGGAAAGGAAAGCATCTACAGATCTATAACAGTACATAATTTACACCTGGCCCGAGCATTCTGTGTGGGGCAGCTCTACATAATAATGACTAATTACTATGTCATTGCATTAGTACACAATACTATGGTGCAGAGCCATCACATACTTGATATTTTCCACTAACCTTGAAGTAGAGCCTTCAGTCTACACATAGTTTCAATTACAAGTGTTACGAAAAGACTCCCTTGTGTGTGTACTATCTGCGCCAGTATAATAGAGATGGAATCTAGGGTCTAGTCAGCTATTGAGACTACCAAGGTTGTAGATTGGATACAGTTGCTTGGTAACAGAAACTTTTATGATTGGATTCTTAATAAAGTCCCTTTAGTAAATAGCAAGTTGAAGAGGACCTTCTGTCTCTAGATTTAATTAATTAGCTCATTTTATTCTGGACTTGCTCTGCTGTTTACCAATAAAATTTGATCCGGCGATAGTAAGGGCGGAGTTCAGAGAGGTTGCAATGGCATTAGAATTTTTGTGGTTCAAACCCGACCTAAAGAGTTTTTACAAATGCAAAAATCATCAACCTCTGTCATCATAATCTCAGATGCAAGCTACTAACATTCTTAAAACAGAATGGTACTAGTGTGATAGAAGTTGACGCACTTAATTGTCTTAATTTATCCTTTAAGATATTACTACTGAAAACTATAACACAGTTTTCACCATTTGCCAGAAGTATCAAAAGTTCTTGATCACTATCAAGATTATTGTGATGCTCTGTGTGAGCTCTCAAGTCTAGCATGTGTAGTAAGATAGCCATTAGATCCACAGATCTAATTTTGTGAATTTTTAGGCCACTTGGCAGTGTGGAAAAGCTATCTAACTACAGTTACATGTCTTCTGCATGAGGAAAGTGACATATGCTTCCTTTGGGTGATCCGTGCATTAAAATCATAGTAGCATTTAAAAGTCCTCTTATTTGTAGCATGTTCCAAAGGTATAAAAGAAGCACAAGCTTTAAATGCATCTATGATTTGACTAAGGAAACCTAAGACTTGATCTCCCACTGTAAGGATTCTCCTTCCCATCCTATCTTTAGTTTATAATTTTACCCTTCTACTGATGTTGCTATGACAACAGAACAGTTCTTGGCATTGGTTACTATGTTGGCACTAGTTTAGGGCCTATGTTATGATGAGCTAGTGGGAGGAAAGCAAGTATATGTATGATGGCTTGGCCTGTAGCTATGGAGTTCTTCACGCTTAGTCTTCTGTCATAACCACCACCTTCGGATCACCTATAGTCACCTCTAGTTACCTTTAGCACCTTTAGCCACCACTAGTATTTTCTCGTATCTTTAGACTCTTTAGACACTTATATTACCCATTTTTAAACCTTTAGTTCTCCAAATTATCTCCAGTAGATCTTTAGTCATCCCTCGCGATCCATCCGACCTCTTCTCGCCCTTCTATTCCACTTCAGGTCAAACGCCAACGCTCCAATTTGACACCCACAAATTCTTAACAAGATAGATATGGGAGATTTTCGGCATATCAGCCGAGCATTTAATGAAGTCTGTGACTACGGTGTTTAGTCTTGAGCTCTTACCTGTATACCAAGCCTCCATTTTTAAGAGTAAACCAGTGACAGTCCAAGATCAGTGTTATAGCTAGGCATCCCTGAAGAAGGGCGAAGTAGAAGTTTCAAGGAGAAGATCCTACGAATAGTTCAAGGAGAAGTTTGAAGGAGAAGGGTGAAGGGTGAATGTGAAGGTTCCCTGAATAGTTCAAGGAGAAGTTTGAAGGAGAAGATTCCCTGGGGAACCCTAACAAATTGGAGTTAGGGCGGCTAGAGTCATAATCGAATCTTGTTCCGGTCTCGGGTGGATTTAAGTGATTATTGTAGTGTACTTAAAGAAGCTGAAGCTACT